TTCTTCAGATTGATCTTGTCTATTTCCTTTGGTGTAAATTCTTCCGTTTGCTGTGTCATTCACAATGCTTATCCTTTTAAGCATTTTTATGAGTGTAGTTTGTAAGGTCACATTCCACACATTTCTCCTATATTTGCTTTCATGGAAAATAATAGTCTGTTTCAAAGCTTCAGGCCAGGGTGCATTTTATGCTCAGGGAATATTCCTGCATGCATGATACATTTCCTGCCCTGCACATGCTGGTGACATGACACTACCCTTCATGTATGTGGGAACATACTGGACACTAAGGTCATTGAAAACGGCTTAGTTCTCTAGCAACCTTGGGAATTGTGCAAAGTTTTCCCAGTCTCTGTTCATGGCAGAGTGTGGGTCTGTAGCTATGAATGTGTGAGAAGTCCTGGTCACTGTCCCTGTACTTTCTGCTTGGATTTATGCCTAGGTCTCCAGTGCCAAGTGACTTTGGCCTCTGACAATACCAAATATTCCCTTTGGTTATTTTCTTGTAGGAAATGGTTCCCTTTCTCACTTTCATTAGCAGCTATGTGTTTGTTAATTTTGAAAATTTAAAAATCATTTCCACTTGGAGTGAGTGGAGGTTTTAGAATGTTTACCTTCATAAATATTAGATCTTAGCCTACAGGAAGCTGAGACTCTTTCCAGTCAGTCTTGCGCTAGGGCCATTAAGGTGTACTATGAAAAAGAGGCAGAAAGAGGGACTTTTGTGCCTGAACACTTGAAGAAGTTTGGGAAGGCCAAAGGCAGGAAGAAATTAGGGAAAGGGGATGGAGACTGAGCACTGCAAGTTGCAGTAGGTACCATCATATAGTTGGTTCCATTATATGTCTGCATCCCCAAAAGTGCCAGGGCATATAACTAGAATAAGAACTGGTATGTGGAATGGATTTTTGTACTTTATTGCTGTGTCACCCTACAGAGTCAATTCAAATCCTGTGGCCTACGGGAAACTCTTCTAGATCCCCTTTCCATCTTGTGAACCAAGCTTTCTGTAGGCTGTGTATTACAATCTCACTTGACTGGGACTATCAAAGAACTCACCTGGCAAACACTGGAGCTTTGTGTCATGGAATCAAGAGGTTGCAGAGTCTTTAACACCTCCCATGACAAATCATTCAGTTTGCTTATATTTAATACCCACTTCCCTGTTTGGTCCATGAGACCTCTGGAAATTTGGTGTATAGGGAAGGAGTTCCTCTCCTTATGTTTTGAGGCCAGACAAAGGTCATCCTGCATTGAGAAAGAGTGATGATTTTACCCCTGCTACCTTATCACTACCATCTGCCCTCCCCTCCACCTCTAGCTCACATTGTCTTTGTTCCTAGAAGTTTCCATCATATATTCAGGTGAGGCCACAGCTGCTCTCTAACAAGGCCTATTCCTATTTTCCAGAAATGCAGTTTCCAGAATTCACTTGTTCAGGATGCAGTCTCCTTGACTTAGCCAAGTTTCACTTTTTGGTCACCCTTTTGGTACCAATGCTTTATTGAACTCCACCATCACACTTGACTACTCTCCAGGTCTTTGCCCTGGTCTCTGGTATCCTGATTTACCACTTGGCTTTGGCCTTCTGAACTTCAAACCAAATGATTCCACTCAAGCTAAGAGTGGTGTTTGAACATGTCTTAGTGTTTTTTTAGAAAAATGACCTTTTGGAGGAAAAGAAAGGGAAGATATTAAGGTAAATATTATTTTTTGACTTCTAATTACGTACCTAATTCTGCACTTGGTAATTTAGATGCATTGTCTTAATCCTTCCAACAAGTACTGGAATTAGATGTTATTAACCTTTAAAAAGATAACAAACACACTCCAATTTATTTAATTTCCAAACAAGTTGAAGTGATTGAGGCCTCATAAATTAATAAGGACATCAAGATTTATTAATCAGATTATTAATCAAGGAGTACTCATGTCTACCCAGCAACTAATGACCTTTGTAAAGATGAAGTTGCAAATGCATTACATTTCAGCTGTATAGAAACTTCTCCAGGTATTCAAGAGCATATACAACAGTTTCTGTCTTAAACTGATTTTTAGGGGCACCTGTGTGGCTCAGCCATTAAGCGTCTGCCTTCGGCTCAGGTCATGGTCCCAGCATCCTGGGATCGAGCCCCACATCGGGCTCCCTGCTCGGTGAGAAGCCTGCTTCTCCCACTCCCACTCCCCCTGCTTGTGTTTCTACTCTCGCTATCTCTCTCTCTCTGTCAAATAAATAAATAAATAATCTTTAAAAAAAAATAAAGAATAAACTGATTTTTAAATGATAATGTCTTATGTTTGGTATATCATTTGGCATCCTTTTTTTTTTAAATTTTATTTTATTATGTTATGTTAGTCACCGTACAATACATCATTAGTTTTTGATGTAGTGATCCACAATTCATGGTTTTCGTATAACACCCAGTGCTCCATGCAGTACATGCCCTCCTTAATACCCATCACATTTGGCATCTTTTTAAAGGTTAATTTGGAGTACAAAATTCTGAATAAAAAGATATAAAAACATGATTGTACACAATAAAATATATGGGATAATTTGGGGTGATACACGACTTAGATCTTTCTCCATCCTTTACATTCATCAAATTCTTCACTATCTCTGTCTTCTTAAGATGGTTTAGAAGATGGAGGGGAACCTTTGGTTACCTCCTGTTGATGTTTTAGAGGGTGTTAGAATATGCAAAGAGACAGTCATGGGCAAAGTAAAGTCAATGGCTATTTCAATGTGCTCTTTCAAGTATGTAATTAAGAACACACAAATCCTATGTGTGGAGACAATCAGTGCATGTACCAGGACTAAATTTATGCTAGGAGCCAAGACTTGCTTTCCACATAGAACAAAATTATTCATAAACCTTCATACATCTATAAAGAGAAGTGAGCACTCAGCCAGGAGAATGAGGGGGACGCATGTGCAAGTCCTGAGTAGCAACATCTACTCACACACTTGTCATGATGAAAAGGGAGCCTTTTTTCCTTCATTTATTTTCCTGGTACCTGAGAGGGGCAGAGTTGCTGACCATATTTCTGTTACTCTTATTCAAGGAGGAAAACCGTTGTAAATCCACAGAAAACATTGTTGTAAACACTGCAGAGAGAAGAATCGGTTCAATGCAATTTAGAGGATGAACTAAAAAGTTTTGCAATTGAGTGTGGAAACTCTGGGCCACTTCTTCAGTGGGTAAATTTTTAAGTTGTGTGAAGGTAGAAAAAGACTTCTTAAAAACCATTTTATTCATTAGAAACTTGAGAGCTTTTTCTTCTGTGCCTTATAGATCAATTTGTCCTAGAGTGGGGTAGGAGAGAGTTGCCATATGTTTATGAGTGAACTAACTGCAAGAACTCCAACATTTTTCTATATGCTTCTAAAATACACTGTTTTGTATCCTGAGTCTTGTCTAAACTATGTTAAATTAGCCTATTTAAAAGTTTTATGTCCTGAACTCAAACTGACTTGCATGTTTACTAGGAGCTCCTGACTTGGGGATACTTGCCTGGATATTTCTCTTTTCTGTCCTCTTGCCATTCTTACATCTTTTATTTCTGTATAGATTTGGAACTTAAAATTTTCAGTAAGGATGGGCACCTAAGGAATGACAATTTGTAAGAGATAGCCTCCGAAATAACCAATCTTATTTGTGCAAGGTTCATCATCTATTCATCATATTCTTCTAATTGGTTATTGCTTTCTTTCAAATCATGTTTCTGTTACATAGTGTTTCAATCTAGCTTCAGTGCCATCTGTCCAACGCTGTCCTGAATTAAGTGTTTCCAAGGGAGAACATCTATATGTTTAGATTTATGTGCATGCACTTTATGTATTCCTTTTAAAAAGTCATGGGGCATATAATTAAATCTTTTTTAAATCTTAAAGTAATTACAGTGTTCTGATTATTGTCCATATATAATTTCTCCTATCAACTCTCTCCCATTTTGTGACAGTTCTGTACACTAGCTCACAGACTCACAACTAATTTCTCCCTGATGTTGGTATTTGTTTTTTCAGAATTTAAATTTACCAACAGTAATTAATAATTAATTAATTACAATAACTACTTTTCTAAATATCCAGAGTCTGCTAAGCCTATGTGGACGCAAAAGTAAACAAATTAAGCCCTCTCCCCACTGTGTGACCTTTTGTGTAACTGACCCAACTCTTAAAGGGAGTCAAGTTTTTTATCTGGGGTCCATGGATGAGTTTCAGAGGATATTCTGTGAATGCCCTAAAATTCACTGCAAATGCTTCCTATGTGATAGTATATATGGATTTTCATTTAGATTTTACCAAAAGAAGTTGTGTGGTATAGTGGATTGGTGTAGTATAGTGGGTTCTGGAGTAAGACTACCTGAATTTGCGTACCAACTCACTATATGGCTGTGTGGTTTTGACAGGTTACTTAACCTCCCTCTGCTTTAATAGTCTCAAAATTGCAGAAATAATTTTATAGTGCTCCTGTGAGGGTTAAATGTGAGGATCTTATGGGCATGTAAAGGCCATACTACTGTGGCAGGCACTTACTAAAGATTACTAATTACCATTGTGTTCTCGAAAGAATTAGTAACCACCAAAGTGTTAAAAAGTCGCTGATTTAAGGCATTTTTAGAATGATACTTTAAAGAAAAATACCAGTTCCTGAGTGCGGAAGTCACACTCAAACCTAATTCTCACAGAAATATCCATTAGCAATACACAGAGATGCATATTCATAATGAGGCTGAAAGGCCTGTGAAATAGCTCTAAAAATGTGGAAGGCCAATTTGTGTTACTCTTGAGTGGAAGAAAAAACATCCCCTGGTCCTGGATTAGGCCCCAGATGAAACACTTTCTGTCAGCTCCTGACTACTGTGCCATCTAAGCTTGCCTTGAAGCCCTAAATAAACATGCAGGGTGATATCTTAAAAGTGCAAGTCTACATTTGTGGATGCTTTCTCAGCATTTTCTTTGTCAGCACGCAGAAGTCAAAAGTTACAAAAACAACGAGATTCTGCATCTTTTAATGAAAGTTAAAACAACAATATAAACATACACAAATTTACAGAGAAGGGATCAACTTTAATACATTTGGAGTAAAAGGTGTTTCTTATTTAAATATGGTATAAAAATAAATGCAAGAAACATTAACCGAGAATGTACAGACAACAAAGACATGAGCTTTTTTCTGACTGTGAACACATTGGTGAAATGAAACTTTCTGTGCTAATTTATTGTTTAATAAATGTGAAGCCATATGTATACTTATTGATATATGTTTTTTTTTACAATTCTTCCAGTTTTTGACTGAGTGAATTTTCAGTGAACTGTGTGTCTAGCAAAAGCTTTAAGAGAAAGAGAAAGAGGAAAAAAAAAAAAAGTTTACTTCACTTGAACTTGTTAAAAAGGAAAAGACACAGATCCAGCTTAGTACAAGGAGAAAGTAAGCAGACAACATTTTGAAATGGAGGCATTGAGATGGTAGAGTCACTTGAAATGGCAGTGCCTTAATGTACACAAAGAGAGAACAATTCAGGTCCTTTGCTCATGCAACATCTTGGTCTAATGTCCTCTGCTCCAGGTAACAACAAAGAGCTACAAAGTATATGCAAAGACTCCAGTCTGCTTCCATGCTACAAGATGATCCTTTTAGTAAGACTGAACGAGGCTTGTTAACCTCTTTGACGTGAGAGATTTCCCCTGAGAAAAAATATAAAACACAGGAAAAAAAAACAGTATGATCACTGAAAACCTGCTATGAGCAGCATTTATTTATTGCAGCTGATTTTTGTGCACGGGTCAAAACAAAACCCTTTAGGTACATCTTAGTTCAAACCTCCTCCCTCCACCAACACATCAAACAAAATGACTTGCCCCTCTTCCACCCTCCCACCCCTCTACCCACTTCCTCCCCACTGCAAACAGACTGATGGGTTCACAGCACAGATCAGCAAATAATAAAACATGTCCATAAACGTTTCATCAAGGCGTCGCAATGATGCAACACCTAGATTTGCAACTGGTTATAAACATGTTAAAAGAAACCTTAGTAAATTGCCCTGAAAGGTAGCAATGTGAATGCATTCTTGTTCAATTGCTGGAATTAGTGTCATGTTTATAAATATCTGGATATGCAGAGGATATGATTTAATTAAACAAAATTCATTTTTAAAGGTGTAATTGGTAGAAACTCAAGATTGAGTCTGTCCCCTGTCCTATATGGTAATGGAGAAAAAGATGCCAATTATACATCTACAGATAAAAGTCTATTTGCTCCCTATTTCAAACCAGGCATCTCCCTATCCTTTTCTACCTGATTTCCTCCAACCCCAACCCCAACCCCATAAAAATCCCATATATTCTGATTCCATATATTGTGTTAATACCTAGAGTACATATTCACTTTTTTGAAATCTTGAAATCCAACACTGTCCCTGTTAATACTAGTACTCTAGAGAGATAAAAAATGTTTGAAATTTCTGATCAGAGTTGCAGATTGTCAATTGGTGGTTTCTTTTTCATCTCTCATTTTATATGTTCTAGCAATAAAAATAAGGTGGTCCACTTATTTGAATGGAATTTGTCTTTTTCGGAGTATAAAATAATAAGGTAAGGTCAAAAGATTTTTTGAGAAATATAATACTTTAGTAATAAATTAGTCATAACAGTAGTCTTGATTTACTACCTACCTAATATGGATCAGAGTTTGATAAAAGGCAGTGTGGTGTTGGGAGAGAAATTATCACTCATGGCCATATTTTTGGAAAAGAGCAATATGTTTAAGAAATGATCAATAATTTCAAAATCAAGCTTTCTTTACACACTTCACAGTAACTGAAAAGAGCCCTGTGGCTGACATGGACAGCAGCAATGGAAAATCAGGCATCATTTTCTTTTAATTGGGGAAAAGGGTTCAAAACTTAGCATCTAGCAACTAATAGTTGAAGATGCCTTCCCACTGGCTATGCTTTAGTCACTTTATGGAAGGAATAAAAAGAAAAGAAAAAGCCATTTGTTAACAAGACACCCTACTTTACATTATATATTGGCCTTATAAACAAGGTATGTTTTGCTCCTTCTTGCCACCCTTTCTGTGCTTGTTTTCTCATCTATAAAATGGGGATAATCACAGTACCTACTTAAAAGCTTTTTCTGAAGAAGAATGAAACTAAATTGCTTAAAACTATTCTTGGAACATTCCATGTACTAAGTTTATGTTGGCTATTATCTCATTATGTTATTACTATTATTGTTTTTATTGTTAAATGCTTTCTCATTAGGACACTGACACCCAAAGTCTATTCTGACTCTAAAAGGGCATAAAGTTGCTAATGAACTGGAATCTAAAATTATATTGCTTTTCCATCCCAAATCTGGGCAATAGATTGATCCAATAGTGTTGGAACCTAAAAGTTACCTTTCTATACTTGAAGACCACACTATTGCCTACATTTACTATTGTATTCATTTCTTGTGCTATTAATATAAGTGTGTACATGAATTTATATATATTTATTCTGAGGCTGAATAATGTATTTTTAAAAAGGGCTTACTGTTTCTAATGCCATATGTGGGATGGAGAAAATGCCATATTGGTTGAGGCGTAAGAGTGAATGCTTATATGGCAGAGGAGGGGAAGATGCTAATGTAAAATTATTACTGATAAAACTGCAGATTAGTGTGATTTGTTAAAAACTACTGGGAAGAAGAATGAAATAGTCACGTTGAAATAGAAAGTCATTTGAAACTCATATAATCATTTTTTATTTGGACTGTGAAAATTACTGTCATCTTTGTAAATCTAATAAATATTAACATGGCTCTCTTTCTACAGATTTGTGAAATTTCCTTGAAGCTATTAGTACTTGGCCTGGTATAGGTTTCATTAAAAAAGGGATGAGGTACAAGGTTAGCTTGACAGGCTGTTGTCTTAGGAGATAATTAAAAAATACCATTCACAGAAATCCATAGAAAAGCATAGGCTTACAGTCAACTGGGGGATTTGTGATAATAGGAGAACAGATGAACAGAGATGGGAAACAGTCACATGATGAAACATTTTGTGTGATATGGTCTTAACAAATATGTAATAAGGATATCTGTTATGTGCATTGAGAAAACTAAAAGGCAAATTTGGGTACAACTAACAGAAAAAAAAAAAAAGGTTTACATGCCCCAGTCTGGGATCAAAGTAAATAGCCTGGGTGCCCAGTGAGTCATGTGAATTTGAAACTCTAGATCATTGGGATCTATCTGCAAAGGCTGTGAAAATCCTGCCTTTTTCACATACTGGGGAAAAACAGACTGGCACTATCCTAGTGCACAAGGAAATATGGTTGCTCACTCTACTGGAAAATCTTAAATTAAAAAGAATATTGATCTTTTCTTGTAGGATGTATTTACACATCTGCTGTTTTATAAAACTCCTTTTTAGTGCAGTTCCTCAGAGGCTGTATTGAATCAGCCCCACCAATTAACTTTTCATAACTGTTCCAAGTTGAAGAATCTGAGAAATTTTTACAGTTAAGTTCTAAAATCGTAATTCTGGAAACTTGTTTACAACTGAATTCCATATGAATAATGTTTATTTTTAACCAAATCCCTATATATGTGTTATGTCATTTATACCCTTTCTTGTCAGATTCTAAAGAAAAAGGATTATACTGGAAACAGCAATTCATAGAGAAAGACAAAGACAGGAACTCAGAACAAAACCAAACAAAAATTCAATATCCTATGAGATTTTGTAATAGATAGTTAATGAGCAAAAAGCTAAAAAAAGAAGCACATAATCAGTTTCAGGACAAAAATACAGCTCAGATTTTGCTGGCATCTAAGTGAATATAGAACACTTACCTAATCTACAATATAGTTATCACATAAAATCATATACACAAGGAGAGTTTTCTGGTCCCTCACAGTAAAACTTCACCTCTTAAATGCTCCATAGAAATTTTGTTATAGTTAGGAAAATATCCGCCTCCTCCCCCCCAAAAAAGTCAGAACAAGCAACCTATGTGTTTGTTCTTAGCTCCTCTAAGGTAACTACCAATAGTTATAAATTTTACATGATTTTTAAAATCTTTCTTGCTCTTAAAGTAGTAACAGAAAGTTGACAATATGGAGCTGTGAGTCGGTAGAAATGGACAGGAAAGCCAGGCTCGTAGCTCCAATCTGAGAGCCTGGGGCACTAGGAAGATGGAGGCCACTCTCCATTCTCTTTTCCTACAGACACTAATCCATAAAGGGAGTGGAGAGAAGCCACAGTTACTTGGGTGACTAAGCCACTTGTTTTATTACTGTTGTAAAAACACGCAGCAGTCTTTCTTGACCTATAGGACAACAAACAGACTGAGAAGAAATGAAGGGATAGGATGTTTAGAAGATAGCCATGAAAGAGTTTAAAGAGAAAAGTAGGGGGATTTTCAGCATCTTTTGGATTAAAAAAATAGGTAACTTCTTAACTCTTGCATTCTCCTACAATTCCAATTTTTGTTTCCTGTCGTTGCCTCCTTGTGTCTATTATGCATTTCTGTAGACTCAGAAGTATATTCTAGAATGTCTTGTAGGCTCCAGAGGCCATAGTGAAGGACTGAGAATAAGAAAGTGCAAGTCTTGCCAACTGAGTGTCTGTTGGTGTACGTGATCCAGTTGTCTGACCAGAGACCCAGCCCCACTGCTACATGGTAAGGAGCTGACTGCTTGATGATAATGTGATACAGCTGGACTAGAGACAGGGCATGCAACTAGAGACATAGAACTTAAGGATACTATCTGTTCTTTTACTCTCATGTTGAAAAATGCCCTGTTTCACTTACAAATACCATTGCATTTTCCTGGATTCCAAAATCCTTTATAATCTAGCTTTCCTGGCCTTTCAAACTGCCTTTCATCACCCCACAAAATGGTTCTTTGGCTGGCCTTTGCACCTGATATTCTATCAGTTTGGGTCACCTACCCATGGTGGTAGATACCTGTTCAGATTCTCCCCACTTTTCAAAGATGACCTTCTTATCTAAGTTCTTGCTAGAGCCTTCTAACTGCCCCCTAAACTCCTCTGGTGAGTCCCTCTCTGGACTGTCCTGCCCATAGAATCAGAACTAGCACATTTACAAGCCATCTGACTCATCAAGTCAACTGGCTTGGTGAAACAATCAACAGCTGTTAAACAACATTAACATTACAGAATCCCCCAATACATACTTGATTCTTTGCATGAGTTAAGTTCCTTGGCTGAAATTTTAAAAATAAGCTTCTAGAAACTAAGGTAATGAGACTCAAATGTCTTGGGTTAACTTTGGACTTAAGGGAGGAGAGACATAGTGGAGTGAGATATGGGGGACCCTGGTCACACCCTAAATAGTGACTAACAGAATCTGGGCCTGTTTAACTCTTATTTTGGAAAGCTCTTCCCTGCTTGGAATGAAACCAATTCTCCTGGGTAAACTTGCAGATGAATTTACTGAACATGTGAATAATTTTAACAAAACTATGTAGAGTATCAGTTCCTAGAAAGTTATAGATAAGCTCAAATCGTTGAGAAGAAGAAAGGAAGGAAGGAGGGAAAGAAGGAAGAAAAAAAGGATTCTATAGCTAGTTTGGGAGCAGGTGTATAAAATGTGGAGGACTGAAAAAATTCTATTATGTACTAAAAACAGAGGGTTTATGAACACATTTACATTTAAGTATCTATTACTAGC